ATTTCAAGTTATGCCACTGAATGGGAACGAGATAGATTTGTGGACTATTTAGGGATATTTAGGAGACTGACTTATCAGGCTTGGGAACAGATTTAATAAATTAAAAACAGGGTCATGTGTGGTTGCTCACACCTGTAATCCCAGCACTTTGGAGACCGAGGTGGGCAGATCAATCTAGGTCAGGAGTTGGAGACCAGCCTCGCCAACATGGTGAAACCTCATCTCTACTAAAAACATAAAAATTAGCTAGGCGTGGTGGCAAGCACCTGTAATCCCAGCTACTCAGAAGGCTGAGGCAGGAGAATTGCTGGAACCCGAGAGGTGGAGGTTGTAGCAAGCCAAGATTGCACCACTGCACTCCAGCCTGGGTGACAGAGCTGGACTCTGTGCCCCCCACCAAAAATAATAATAATAATAAAAAACAGTAGGCTGGGTGAGGTGGCTTACGCCTGTAATCTCATCACTTTGGGAGGCTGAGACAAGAGGATCGATTGGGCCCAGAAGCTCGAGACAAACATGGGCAATGTATCAAGACCCCCATCTCTACCATAAAAAAAAAGTTAACTGGGTATGGTGGTGCATACCTATTGTTCCAGCTACTTAGGAGGCTGACGTGGGAGGATTGCTTAAGCGCAAGAGATCTAGGTTGCTGTGAGCTGTGATGGTGCCACTGCACTACAGCCTGGGTGACAGAGAGAGACCCTGTCTCAAAAAATAATAATAATAATAATAGGCCGGGCGCAGTGACTCACGCCTGTAATTCTAGCACTTTGGGAACCCGAGGTGGGTGAATTGCCTGAGCTCAGGAGTTCAAGACCGGCCTGGGCAACACAGTGAAAGGCTGTCTCTACTAAAATACAAAAAACTAGCCAGTCTTGGCAGCATGCGCCTGTAGTCCCAGCTACTCGAGAGGCTGAGGCAGGAGAATTACTTGAACCTGGGAGGGGGAGGTCGCAATGAGCTGAGATCATGCCATTGCACTCCAGCATGGGCGACAGAGTGAGTGAGACTCAATCTCCAAAAATAATAGTAATAATGAAAAATAATAAAAATAAAAACAGTAAAGGACTGCAAGACAAAGAAGTGTCAGAAAAGGAAAGAAAGAAGGAGTGGCCATAGGAGGCAGTAAAGCAGAACACATTGATGTCACAGAAACAAAGAAAGGAGAGTGTCGGCTGGACGTGGTGGCTCACACCTGTAATCCCAGCACTTTGGGAGGCCGAGGCGGGTGGATCACAACAAGGTCAGGAGTTCAAGACCAACTTGGCCAACATGGTGAAACCCCGTCTCTACTAAAAATACAAAAAATTAGCCGGTTGTGGTGGCGGACACCTGTAATCCCAGCTACTCGGGAGGCTGAGGCAGGAGAATTGCTTGAACCCAGGAGGCGAAGGTTGCAGTGAGCCTAGATCATGCAATTGTACTCCAGTCTGGGTGACAAAAGTGAAACTCTGTCTCAAAAAAAAAAAAAAAAAAAGGAAGGAGAGAGTGCTGAGTAATACCAAATACTGCAGAGGAGTTGTTAAGTAAGGACAGAAGAGTGCTCATTGAATTTAGTGACAAGGAAATCAGTATAAAGGAAGGGCTTGGCCTAAAAGACAAAAAAAATTTCCTGCCTCAGAGGAGCTCAAGGTGCAAGGAAAGAAACTGTTATTACAGTGTGAAGAGTGCTGTGAGATGGAGTTCAGCCTGGGAGCTGCCTTGAGGGCACCGAGATGAAGCTGGTGGTCCAGTTTTCCAGGTGCTCTTGGTTCACATTTCCCAACTTCATTTCCCCGTGGTGTTACCCGTCTCACACCACATCACTGCCTCTGCATCTTTTGTAAAATTAGCATACCTCTCCATGTCACATTGCCTCCTTAGAGCATGTTGGGAGTGGAAATGGGTATATTCAAGCAACCAAATTTAAAGTTTCCCTTAAATTCTCTTGCTAAACACTATTCAAACTCTAAATGTAAACAAGGGAATGGACATGATTACAATGATACATGAAATTTAAGTTTATCTTCATTTTAGGGTTCAGTATCGATCAATATATTGAATGAATTGGCTCTCACTATGTGTGGCTATCCACACAAAGACTATCCACTGAGTTTGCCTTGGCCAAATTCCAACACTAACAATTTAGGTAAGAATATGGTTCCACATCTAGAATTCAGAATTTTATTTAGAGCTTAACATTCTTTTTCCCAAGATCTGGTCAACAATGCAGTATTACTAAATAATAGCTTTTTTCCTGGATAACTATGGTAAGAATTATCTGTGATTATTTTGGTAACTGAGTTTTATCTTTTTGGGGAAGGATTTTTGTGTGTATAGCAGAGATAAATATTAATGGATTTCTATTCCAGAAGTAGGACTTATAAAATAACACAATAAATACCTGAACCCTGTAATATTAAAAACTTATCTCTGGCATTGGAATACAATGCTTTGAAGTAACTCATTAATGTTCATTTATTTACTGGAGCAGTCTTTTTTTTAATGTGTCAGAGTCTAACTCTGTTGCCCAGGCTGGAGTGCAGTGGTAAAATCACAGCTCACTGCAGCCTTGACCACCTGGGCTCAAGCCATTCTCCCACCTCAGCCTCAGAGTAGCTGGGACTACAGGCCCGTACCACCACACCTGGCTAATTTTTGTATTTTTTGTAGAGATGGGGTTTTGCCATGTTGCCCAAGCTGACCTTGAACACTTGGGCTCAAGCAATCAGCCCGCCTCAGCCTCCCAAAGTACTGGGATTTCAGGTGTGAGCCACCACGCCTGGCCTCTGGACCACTCATTTAAACAAAATATTTATGTCCTGAGATACATATTTTAATTTGTAATTTTGTTCTGGTACATTGGGGTGGTGATTTAGTCACGCCTACTGATGAAATCTGACACTTGAGGAAAGGGGACAAAACTTGAAGAGGCTCAAAGGCATCCAGAGAAGACAAGAAAGAGAAGCAAACAGAGGAGACAATAGATCGTGTCAGTTTTCACGAAACAATTTATAATTCGATTGCATTTTACACAGGCTCACAAGAATGCACATTGAACTACCTCTAGCCCGCCCCCTTCCTTCTCCAAAGCAGATGGAAATGAGGTGGCTGACTGGGAAGGTTGCCATGGTGCACTGGCTACAGGGATTCAATTGTAATCAAAAGAGGCTCCACGGTCCCCTCCCCCAACCTTCCAAATGTGGGTTTCTCTCTTTTCTCTCAAATCCCTGTCTTACTTTCATGCCGTAGGTAAACCAGAATGAGATTGATTTACTAGTGAACAAAAAACCATTTAGTGCCTCCAAAAGTTTACAGATGCATTGATCTTGTTAGATATAAAACACTGAGAAATTAGAACTGGTCCATTTTGAGATATAGCTAGTCACACAAAAGTCAGGATTCACTTTTAAAATGTCTTACACAACACACCTCCATCTTTGAGTCTTACATTTCTTACTGGTTTTATCCCCCCGATAACCTGCAGACATCTCAAATTCAATATATCTAAATGGAATTTATTTTTCTCCATCACTTGCCTCAGTATTTTATATTCTCAGTGATCCTGTATTCTTAATATCAGTTAATTGTCTCCATCTTTCTGGTCTACCAAGCTAGATTAAAATGATAATCTCTGCCAGGCGTAGTGGCTCACACCTGTAATGCCAGCATTTTGGGAGGCGGAGGCCGGTGAATCACTTGAGGTCAGGTGTTCAAAACCAGCCTGGCCAACACGGTGAAACTCCATGTCTGCTAAAAATACAAAAATTAGCCAGGCGTGGTGGATCACACTTATAATCCTAGCTATTAGGGAGGCTGAGGCATAAGAATCACTTCAACCTGGGAGGCGAAAGTTGCTATGACCTGAGATCACACCACTTCATTCCAGCCTGGGTGACAGAGTGAGACTTTGTCTCAAAATAAATAAATAAATTTAAAAAATATATGTATATATATAAAATAACCTAATGTAACACTGTGTTCTAGGCACTACTGTAAGTACTTTAATTCATTTAAATTAATCCTAACTGATCACTAAATTCTGTTCATTACAATTCAAAATTGTCTTAATAAACATTTGCAAATGAACAATTGAGGAGGCCAGGCGCGGTGGCTCAAGCCTGTAATCCCAGCACTTTGGGAGGCTGAGGCGGGTGGATCACGAGGTCAAGAGATCGAGACCATCCTGGTCGACATGGTGAAACCCCGTCTCTACTAAAAATACAAAACATTAGCTGGGCATGGTGGTGCGTGCCTGTAATCCCAGCTACTCAGGAGGCTGAGGCAGGAGAATTGCCTGAACCCAGGAGGCGGAGGTTGCGGTGAGCCGAGATCGCGCCATTGCACTCCAGCCTGGGTAACGAGTGAAACTCCGTCTCAAAAAAAAAAAATAAATAAATAAAATAAAATAAAATAAAAGGTGCCGGGCGCGGTGGCTCACGCCTGTAATCCCAGCACTGTGGGAGGCCGAGGCGGGTGAATCACGAGGTCAAGAGATCGAGACCATCCTGGTCAACATGGTGAAACCCCGTCTCTACTAAAAAAAAAAAATACAAAAAATTAGCTGGGCATGGTGGCGTGTGCCTGTAATCCCAGCTACTCAGGAGGTTGAGGCAGGAGAAGTGCCTGAACCCAGGAGGCGGAGGTTGCGGTGAGCCGAGATTGTGCCATTGCGCTCCAGCCTGGG